GTGACGCTGGCTTGTTTATAAGGGTAGAAGCCAGACATTTGGTCAAGACGAAAAGAAGATTTTGGTCAAAACGGGAAGACGTTTTTGTCAAAGCGGCTAAGATAGTAATAACATAATTTTAGTTATTCACATTATTTTTTCTACCATAAAGCGAATTTTGTTCATCTCGATTTATGGTTTCTTTTATAGTATATCTCCTTTATATCTTTGTAAATTCTGAACGGAATTTAACCTTTTTTTGGACTGATACCCCCCCCCCCCCCCCCTTGAGATACGACTTTCTCAATATTGTAAGCGAAGTAATATTACTTCAATGGCGATCAGCGTCTATAATGAAATCCAAATTTTGTCATCCAGTTACAAAGATCGCCCTAGATCTTTGAAATAAAACGAAACGAAACAAATAGTGAATAAATATGGTAAAAGCTATTTCCTTTGATAACGGATGTAAACAAAAACATTATAAGCTAAACGATTGAGAGAGAGAGAGAGAGAGAGAGAGAGCAGGTTTAACGTCCCCTCGACACAAACTGGGTCATTTCGGGACTAACACAAGGTTCAATTTTATTTCAATAATTCGCTTGCGCATAGGGGTCTTTGGTAGTGGGAGGAAACCGGAGGACCCGGAGAAAACCCACAAGGTTGGACAGGCAACCGGGGAATCGAAACCACACCAGTTGACTCAATGACAGACCTCAAGAATAAAACGGACCTCGCTATCCATCCTATAATTATAGTAAAGGTTACTTAACAAAAGTAACTAAAGAAAAAAAAATTAAGTAAATAACCAAGAGTGATTAATCGGTAACTTTATTTCAAAAGACTCACCTACCGTTTTACAGCAAAGAAAGAATACAAAAACACATACAAGATACCTCAAAAAAAAAAAAAAAAAAAAAAAAAAAAAAAAATCAACACCAATGACGTTCAATAGTAAGACACGTGCAGCTATGTTATTCATGTTCGAATAAAAAAACCCAGTATAATGTCGGATTATGTTTAAAATGACATCAAAGTAGGACGTCGTTTTATATTGAATAGAAAACTACGCCCATTAAACGCCTTGATTCATATAAGTAAACAAGCTGACAATTTCTAGAAACTTTTAAAAGACAAAATTCAAATCAGGAAATATAGGTTTGTTCAAATGGTTTGGCTGTATTTTATTTTCTTTGTATACACATAATGTGCGAAAACTCGTTCGAGGAACATTGCTAATATATATGTTTAAAACAATTGGTGTTTCATGAATATTTACAAAATTAATGTGAACACAACATACATCTCCCAATAACAGAGTATAGCACCGGTGGTCTGAAATAAAAAATGTCCGAAACCTTAAGCCACCCGAGCACACATTAGTCTACGCATAATAATCTGCGATCACTATGGTTTCTGAATTCATTGAGTTGAGGAAGCGTGGTAATGTTTATCATTCAAATTGATAATTAAAATGCTCGATCCTTATTATCCCAAATGAACGAACATTGCACCTATGTAGGCCCATGTTTCGTTGTGCGGATACAGGCCCGTAACTAAGGGGGGGGGGGCGCAAAGCCCTCCCTGCAAAAAGTTTCGCCCATCCACACCCTCTGTGAAAAAAATTGTCGACCAGAAAAAAAATAGATCTACATTGTCCAATTTTACAGCACCCCTGAGAACACTTCCCGTCCCCTTCGCTGCTTTGAGCTAGTTACGACCCTATGCGAAATGCCCTCCCTGCAAAAAGTTTCGCACCCCCCCCCCCCTCCCCCAACCCCGCCTGTAAAAAAATTGTCGACCATAAAAAAATAGATCTACATTGTCCGTCAATTTTACAGCACCCCTGAGAACACTTCCCGCCCCCTTCGTTGCTCTAACCTAGTTACGGCCCTGTGCGCAAAGCCCTCCCTGCAAAAAGTTTCGCACCCACCCCCCTGTGAAAACATTGTCGACCATAAAAAAATAGATCTACATTGTCCGTCAATTTTATAGCACTCCTGAGAACACTTCCCGCCCCCTTCGTTGCTCTAACCTAGTTACGGCCCTGTGCGCAAAGCCCTCCCTGCAAAAAGTTTCGCCCCCACCCCCCTGTGAAAACATTGTCGACCATAAGAAAAATAGATCTACATTGTCCGTCAATTTTACAGCACCCCTGAGAACACTTCCCGCCCCCTCGTTGCTCTAAGCTAGTTACGGCGCTGTGCGGATAAGGGCACAGATCACCAGATTAGGCGTGCAGATGGAGATATGTTGCCAAAGGCTGTCATCTGATGGAGTGGTGGCAAACACCATAAAGGCTCCAACGAATCTACATTGTTCAAGCTGAAAATGACGAAGACCTCGGTGAGAAAATCCAGATGCTTCCCAAATGTCCTACAGTTGCACTCAATTTCGAATTATGAAAGGGGAAATGACTCTAGCAAAAAATGAAAATCTCGGTGAGTAAACCCAGAAGCTTCCCGAATACCGACAGTTGCACTCAATTCTCGAGTTATAAAAGGGGAAATAAACGAAATAGATTAAACTTTTAGCACCAATCATATAATCTTCTGGTCTTCTCTGACGTGAGAACTGTCCACTGGTATACGTGTTTAGTTTTGTTGACTGGTTAATTGTTATTGTTCGAGGTTTTTGTCACCCTATATAGAATGTCATTAGCTAAGTAGTAATAAATACATGGTAAACAATACTTACAACTGGAATGTCTCTGGACCAATCGTAAGACACGTACTATATCGTAATTAGCAACAGCTTCTTATTACAGTAAGATTATTATTCCAGATTGAACACAGCATATGTTGGTCATTGTCAAATTAAAATATATATTTTTTTATGTCGGTGGGGTAATTAACATACGGCACAACATCAGTCGAAGGGGGATATTTAAATACATATACGTTATAACTTCCGATGACGTCCAAGAAAGAGAAAACAGCTAGTTTATGATTTGATGTATACATATATTTTTTTGAATGGACGTATTTATTTTTTCATCTATGTATTTATCTACTGTAAACATGGAATTACGTCGGATGTTCGATCCCTGCATTGGCCGAGAAAGTTCATCCAGATTTTCCGACGTAGTTCCCTCTTGTCAGTGATGCAGGACGGAGGGCCTGACAAGGACAGCTGTCTACTAGTCGTTCGGATGGGATGAAAACCCGAGGTCCCGTGTACACGTTGGCGTGCACGTCAAATATCCATTGACAGTTGGAATTCGATATAAGAGTAGGCTGTACTGCAGCTGTCCGGGCAAATTTCCCTTATAGCACACTGTATGGTGTATGCCCGTCTTCATTAGCCCAGTTCGGAGCAGAATAGTAGGACGTTAAACCCCATTTAATTTTATTTATATTAAAACCTTATTTAAACACATCTTCCAATACATGATTTTTGTTTTAGAAATATTGAATTCTTGTTTAAATACACCAGAGCGTCTTCCAAGAAAACTTTACGATTCTACAACAAAATTTAGTTTTGCCTTTATATTTTTTAAATTGATGTGTAAGATACCAGTTTTAATGTCAGACGCTGCACCTGGGATCGAATTTTAGCGAAGATATATTTGTGTTTAAAACACATAATTCCATACTTTTCTTGTGGTAATTATGACTATATTTAATTACGTTCTGGCAATTCGCCCGTGCTTCCAGCTCACACGATGTTAAACATACATTATCCAAGAGCTAAATCTGCCTATTGCAGGTCTTTATTTAGGCCTGAAATGTTATCTGAATTATTAATTAGACATTATAATTAACTTATCCAGACCATAACCAACTCTCGATGTCATCGCTAGCCTGCGATGTTTATTGGATTAGGTTCGGATTTGCTGAAATGGATAATCGAGACTATGTTTTTTATCGTACCGACTTTAGTAATGATAATCGCTAAAATCTCGGTTCAGAGTGGATGAATTTGACTGAAATTTTTAAGCAAATTCCCTTTACATTATCTAGATTTTAACTATTATAGTGAGAACTGCCAGCTCTTTATCTAATCTCCCATAATGTATCTTTAACATATAGACGATTATTAACGTTTCTGTGAGCTCTACTCTTGTTATTTATAGATAACAATATCTCGACATCTATGTACTATCAAGAACTCACGGTTTGTCATTTGAAATGTAAAGCTTCACAAGAAGTAGATTTTGTGTAAATATGTGTGTTTTGTTAATCTATTGTTTATCACCTACTATTGTAATGGGGAGGACTCCTTTGTAAGTTTTAATAAATTTTGCCCGATCCGTTTACTTTAAAGTAATAAAATATGTTTAAATCAAACAGAATCCACCAATTACTTCCGTCTTGTCACCCTTTAAGCGCCACCATCACTCGTAATATGAAAATAAACGCTGTTAAGTATGAATATTGTCATAGTTATATTACCCCAAACTCAACTATGGAAACTCAACCATTGTTCACAAGCGTTCGTAAAAAAAATCCTCGAAAGTCACTAAAACTTATCAATTAAAGGGTAAAACGAAAGTTTTTCAGTGATGAGATGGCAAATTTATATCCAATTTTGAATACAAACTATTCTGAATATGCCCCATTAGGGTCAATTTGCAAATAATTGCAAATGTGATATTTATGTGAAATTATAAATTTCCAATTTCAATGGGGAGCCACGGTGGCCCAGTGCGTAAGACGCAGGCTCTGTAACCAACGGCCTCTGGTTCTCTTCAGCTGTTTGTCGAGAAAGTTCCTCGGGGTGGGGCTATAGGACGAAAACCCGATGGGATGAAAACGGGGGCCTCGTGCACACATTGGCGTGTATGTTAAAGAACCACTGACAGTTGGAATTCGATATAAGAGTAAGCTGTAGTGCCGCTATCCGGGCAAAATGCCCCCATAGCACAATGTATGGCATATGCCCGTCTTCATTAACCCAGTCGATGCAGAAAAGTAGGACGTTAAATCCCATTTCATTTTATTCTCATTTACAATTTAAATGCCCTTTTTGTACGCAATCGCCAACAATAATGCACATGCTATACAATAAAACAATAAGAATGCATTATTGTACCATATTTATTACAAATTAATGACAATTCTTATGTCTTCTGATATTCAAATAAAGAAGCCATGATTCGTTGACAGCTAAATATACATCGAAGGCCTGTGTTGGCCTGTCGGTGTTTTACGATATGCATCTCTGTCTTGACCGGCGAAAGTTATTTAAACACAGCTTTCTAACGACATGCGATATATCAAGAACTGAAGGAGAGGTACGTGCAAATACATTGACATTTTAAGGATGGAGCCCTAATGTTCTTGTTTAATACGCCAGTGTTGTATTTTATAATCTGGCTAGAATCCATTCTGTATAATTGGTAATATTTGTGTACAGTGTTGGTAAACGGTTACAGCTATAATAACCTATAATACCAGCTAAAGACCAGCGATTCTGAGAATCAGGACAAACCAGCATTCCACCATCATCACCCTGGAAAAAATATCAAATACGAAGGTAACTAAATCTGAAAGAAATTCTAATAGAATCGAGAATACCACCAGTTTAAGACAATTTGCTTGTATCTAAATTTAGACCCTCTTGCCATATTTGATTCACATGCAACCAGTTTTATGAATTCAAATATTTTGGAAACAAACCGAATAGAATCTGAATCTGGAAGACTACTATGGACGAACAATATAAAATACGAATCGCAGCCATCTTGCAATTGTGACATCATTCTGCATCTACTGGGCTAAGAAAGACAGTCTGATTAAAACACACTTGAAACATCACCGCTGATTGGTTAATAAAATGTCTGATGTCCTCGGGTCAGAAACCTCTCGTATGACCCTTGACGCGAACCCCCCCCCCCCCTACAACCGACCAGATCTCCATGTAGTAGAGACCATCGAATGTATAAAAAAAATGAAACGATATATAGATCTGTATTTTAATGAGTTTTCTAATAAAGACGAAAATCGTCACCCCCCCCCCCCAAAAAAAAAAAACCAAAACAAAACAAAACAAGCATACCAAGTTTCATGTCTATCTTGCCCGAATTGAGGGTGTCTTGCTCTGTTTGCTAATAGGAAGAAGAAGGACCAGACCAATTGGAACCAAATTCTGCTTGAAATATCTTGATTTAGATTCAAGACAACAAAACACCTCTTATATAGCAAAGGGAACCTTTTAGTACTCCTGGTCTGGGTTCAATCATGGAATGAAGGTAAGGTATTCACGACGTTTCGACAACGATAAGAGAATACTTGTCGAAACGTCGCGCTTTTAGAATAAAACCAGTGATAGTTTACCATAGAAATTGTGTTCTGTTACTGGACGATCAGAACGATTTAAATCAATTTACCTGACAACCATCTGTTAAATCTACAGCTGTATTACTACACAGGACATCATCTGGTAACTGTTCTCCTGTAGAAACCTGGATTAGATTCTGACAGATGTTTCTATCTAAAACAGTTACATCAGCGGCTTGTAGAGTTGATGATCCACCATCTTAAAAAAATTGAAACAAAATCTGCTATACATCAGTAATATAGAAAAATTGTGAGATGTGTCATAAAATTATGAAATTTCACCCAAATATAGATTTTAAGAGTTGGAGCCATCACGACAATATTAATTCAAGACTTTAATTATAAACCATAATATAGTTTGATAAAAAGTTTGATCAATTCCGATCGCCACTAGTACGAAACTTGGATAATCAAACGTTCCTTTATTCCCTGTGCTTGACATGGTCCGTGAGAGAGAAGGGAGCAACTGGGACACTTATCCAGGGGCCTGGAGCCTAGAGGGGGCCGGAGTTAAACAGAGTAATGTTTGGGTAGAAATTGATAAAAAAATAATATTGTTACTTGATCGTAAAGTAAAAGAAAAACGGTGACTTTTCTGAATGTGGTTACCTAGTTGCGTGGGTTGGATTAGAATCAAATTCTGCCAGTCCACTGTTTTTGGAAAAATTGTTGAATTAAAAACTATAAGCCTCCTGTCCGGGCCTTCCCGGATTCTGTCAGTCCACTTTTTAGGAAATATTGGTGAATTAAACACTATAAGCCACCTTCCCGGAGCTTCACGTCGTTGTGACCCGACCCGAGCTCGTTTCGTTTGGGGCTCTCATCACAGGCAGGGTATCCGGGCCCAGGTAGGTAATTGGGGTCTAGTCCGGGCCTGTAGAACGCTACAATGATGGTAAGCGCCCGTGTCGCGCTCTGCCGGCAGTGATCATGTTATCGATCGCTCTAGGTAGGCTGACGGATATCCGATCTTTAAAAACTAAACAGTTACCCCAGATATACGCCAAAATGACGCTAGAGACCATGTATCTTTCGAAAATTTTTTGACTTCGGGGGAGAGAGACCCCCTCCCCCCACTCACGACTCCCCTCGCCTAGTTGTTTGTCCAAGGGCCGGGAGGTCCATGTCGCGGGTGCTAGTGCTTGATAGACAGTTAACAATCCGGAGCTCTGTCAAACTTATCCTATCCTATAGTATGATGACGCGTTAATGCTGGTGCCCAGTTGGACAATCTGACAGTCCGTTCTTGTCCCTTTATTCCATGTGCTTGAAGCTCTTTCCAACGACCATTCCAATTATCCATTTGTATGAAAGTGTGTTATACCAACGTCCTGTGGGCCCCGAGTTTGATATGTAGTAGTTAATGGACCATAAATCTGACAGCCCGTTTGTCCAATCATCCCTCAACAAGTGGCCACTATATGAACTGAAATAAATGAGATGTGGTACGAGGTGTTCTGGTATTTTACTTACATTCCGTTTGACCAAATCCCGCTATATAACACCTACCACCAGGTGATATAGGTATGGAAGGATCAGGTAAACAGGCTGGTGTTTTACACCTATCAAACTCTACAGGTGTTGATAATTTGATGGCTGCTAGATTTTTTCCTGACAATAAAACAAACAATCAAAATTCAATCGATAACCTTCCATTCAAACAGAGTTAAAGCCAGAAGTAATGTTGCCTGCAAGTTTGCCACCCCACCCAACCTCACCCAACCTGCGAAAACCACAATAAAATATACACCAACCATAATTGCAGACAATGTAACCCATGTTCTTTTTTTATGAGAAAATAAAATATCGCCTGGCTTCTTCAATCATTATATTGTCCCCAAAGTAAAACAACCCTTTTCTAATTCTGTAAACCGCCCACTGGATAAAACCACTGTAAATGCGGTCCGTATATCATCAATACAAAAGTTCGTAAGCTGTGTGAACTCCCTAGATGAGAAGTGGTAACCCATGCTCGAGAAATATTATCCGTGGTTTTTCTATACCCCATAGCAATACTACAAATTTTAAAACAACATAAAGACATCGACAAGTAATTACCTATCTGTCTGAACAACTTACCTTTAACTTCAAATTTATATCCGTCCATAATGTCTATACGTTGTACACGATACGCAACTTCAGGATAATCAAATTTGTTTGTGTTATAGTCACCCAGATGGACTTTGATGTCTTGTATAGGCGCACTGAAAACAGAATGATATATTCTAACGGGTCAAGTTTTCTAATAAAGTATCTTGACTTTTTTATTGTATAAATGTGTGTCTGGAATGTATCTTTAATCTTAGTAAGATCAGACGTTTTGAATTCATTTTATTTAACATTTGATGAGTGTTATTATTGTGTCATGGTCTTAATTGTGTAGCGTAAGCAACCAATAAAAAGCTGCTCTGAAATCTCGTGCATAACATTATCGTCGACAGTCGTCTGAACGGCACCGTTCTGAAATGTTAGATATACTGCAGAAAACAAACCCATGAAATAAAGATATAATTTTAATTAGATTTGTGTACTTTTGGTCTGGTGTACTTACTTAATCAAACATTGCGCTGCAGTTAATACTGTGTCCTTGTTCACCAGAACGCCCGAACAGAACAATCCTCTGGTACTATGACGCAGTGAAACCATCCATGGCCATTCACATGGTCTCCCAGTATAGCCATTAAAGATTCGTGTCTGGGTTATGGAGGCGGCTCCGCATTCTTAAAGAAAAGACAGAACATTATAGCTGTTAATATAACGTCAATGATAACAATAATAATACTTCCGGTTTTCGAAGTTACAATATTACTTCCGGTTTTGAGAAAACTGAGTATTCCGACACTGCGTAATACGACATATTGTAACGATCCCGTACGATGTCGGATTTGACAGAGTCCACTGTATATATTTTACGGTGGTAAATCTTAATGTATGACTAATTGTTCGTGCTTTACGGACCGCTTACTATTTTTAGGCTAAATCCAACTAAATTGCAACGGATCATAAAATATATTTGATGGAAAATATATAGATTTGTCTTTAAAAGGTACATTCTTTGGATAATTTTGCTGATGTTTTTAGCCTACTTCAAACATAATCACTAAATCCGCGAAGAGAATCGCAAGAGGGTAATTGAAGAGTTTTTGCTTCTGCGCGCACCTCTAAGCATCAAAATAAGCGATTGTTTAGATTTGACACTGCGATCCCGAAGTTGGCCGCTAAAGTTCATCGGGATTTTCCGGTTTGGTTTCCTCCTGTCAGTGGTGCCTGACAAGGGAAGCTGTCTAGTTGTTCGGATGAGACAAAAACCCAGGCCCCGTGTACACATTGGCGTGCCCGAAAGAATAGTCTGTATCGTATGCTCGTCTTCGTTAACCCAGTCGGAGCAGAACTGTAGGACGTTAAACCCCATTTCATTTCAGGTTTGACAATGCCACCACCGCTCCCATTTAAAAATGATCCCTGATTATGAAAACTTACTTCCTTGTCTCTGAGATACAGATCCAGTATTGACTGTCGGTACTGGTGTTGTTACTGGATTAATTGGTGGCGGAACACAACAGTGGGCCAATCCATAGAAACAATAGTAAGGGTGTAGCGCATGTTCTCCATAGTTACAAGATCTCGAACACCTCCCTCCAAACTGATAGGCACATACTACAAAAGTATAGATATACTACACAATTATACACATGCTAAACAAAATTATACAAACGCTACAAAATTATACATGTACTGCAAAGCTATAAACATGCTTCAAAATTATACATGTACTGCAATAGTATACAAAATTTTACACATACAAGTTGGAATGGCAAAGAGAAGTGTGTAATCGTTCGAATGGCCAGAACAAACCACGCATCCTTAAAGTAGCTAAGTCTCTAACTCAATATCATCCAAAATCTTCAACACTGTAAACACGATTTATTTGTCAAATTAAATCAACATTCATGTTGTGATCTTACCGGAAAAAGATGGGCTTTTGATATCCAATATTTAAGACAAAATAAACATTTTACCATTGGTACACGAATCGTGTACCATAATGCGCTTCAGCCCCAGTTGTATCAAGAGACTCGAGGGACGAGGCTAGACACATTGCACCAAATCAAACGGCGTATGTAGACTGGAATAACCAGACGCTAGAAATTTGCACTAGCTTATTTCGCCGAACATAACTGATTTTGAAATTGGAGTAAAAACGGAAACCATTGAATGTAAATCAGTTTATATACATTCATATTACAGTTTTATATGCGTTGCGACCCACTTTTGTCAATTTCTAGGTCCCAAATGTTAGCAATTTAGCTCCTTTAAGAGTAGGCGTAAGAGCCGCCTCTCAGGCAAATGATCCCTCATAAATCACTATATGCTCGCATGTAGAAAATTAAGAGACTTAACCCCTTTTCATTTCTGATTGCCACTACAAAAAATAAGCGTAAGAATACAAAAACACCATAAGCATCATAACGATGGATAAATTACCAGTACTAATATAACGTCATATGAAACTTACTTACAGGATCTCAGTAACAAGTGGTACCAGATGTTCCAGAAAAGATATTCAAGGTAAATATCATTATCATGAGAGGAATAATACTAAATGATCTTTGTCCTTACCAGAATATTGCCACACGTTCAGGTATTGACCGGTAGATGGCACAACAGATCCCACTGCTATCACTAGATAAATCACAAGAAACATTTTGCCAGTGTAAATCGGTAATCAGGAACAATCTACTGGTTAAGACATCCCGACCATATGTATAAATTTGAAACAATTAGGCATTATTCGCTGGACAAAACGATCCTATTTCTAATTATAAATCAAACTGTCACAGAACATCTAAAGTTGAATTTTACCTTTTATCCACCCTTCAGCTTCACTGATAAATGTTTTGTTTTACACACGTTTTACTTAGCTCTTGTTGAATGTGCAACAATAGGAAAAGATCAGCCAAGTATAGGTCACACTTGGACTAAACGGTTTACCGCGTGACCCCACTTACATCAGTCAAATGTTAATCAATCTCAGCGATGACACGGATTTAGTAAACTTTCCCTTTTAAACAGGAACGTGGCGTAATTAATTCATAGTAATAGTGTGAGTTTATAAAAGGAATAACCATCTAAGTGATAAACATAAGTAATTGAAATTTCTGACTTATTCGATGAATAATATAGTAGAGACTGGTATGATGCACGAGACAGATACCACCTCGGTCATTTCGGGAATAACATATGGTTCAATTTCATTTCAATAATTCGATTTTGCATAGGGGTCTTTAGGAGTAGGAGGAAACCGGAGGATCACTAGCCCCCCCCCCCCCGCCCTCCTCTTACTGCCTGAACATTCTCCGTCTTCTTTACATGTTTGATAGGAAAATCAAAGTATGCATATACAGTTTCGTATTTATAGACATTGAATTTTATTGCCGTTTAAGCTGTATTGTACTATACTTTTTTTTTATCATACCCGTTACCAAGGCACTTCATGCTATTAATTGTTTCTTTCACTATTCCACGTTAAAGTCGTTCGTCGAATATGGTACTGGATCACCAAACAAGGGGTCCCTGGATCAACCCTGATTCTGGCCGGCAACATTTCACGGGATTTTCCACATTCTGCATGGTTTCCGAATGTCATTTGCATAGAGATGAGTCGTCTAGTCGTTGAAATGATACACAAATCTGAGGTTCATTGACTGCACATTAAAGATCCCCTGACGGTTTAAAATCGAAATTAGAACTGACAAAATTCTGACTATAGAATGATTGTAGAAGCTTTGCATTTTACAAAGGACTGTAAACATAGCGGCTTGTTTAATAAATTGTAACATTTGGAGTTGTTTCCCTTTTAAAGATAGGAAGCAATAGGTAGTATTTTATACGTTCCTAAGATGATTGTATGTACATACAGATATTTATAAAATGAAATGGAATGGGGTTTAACGTCCTATTGTTCTACCTATCAGGGAAATTTGCCTACTTTTTTTTTACCGAATTCCAACTGCAAAGGGGTCTTTTACGTTCACGCCAATGTGTACACGGGACCTAGAATTTCCACCCCATCTAAACGACTAGACTGCTGTCCTTGTCAGGCCCTCACGTCCGGCACCAATTACAAGCGGAACTGCAGATATATAAATCGAAATAACACTCCAAATAATAATTATCACCGCAACAATGTTTCTTGGTTTTCACTATGATTCGAATTATTTGTGTGTGTGTGGGTGTGGGTGTGTGTGTGTGCGTGTGTGTGGGGGTGATAGGGGACTTTAGATCATAACGTATTCAAGTACTATAGCTTCCATCACACGTTTGAAGATATGTTTTCTAGTCCTTTGTCGACGTTTTAAAATAAGATATTGCTCCCTGAGATATTGCCGATGCTACTTCCCTTCAGGAATTAAGCTGCTGCTATATTGTTGGGAATACTACCCCTTTCATTTAGTGACCGGCTTGTTGGCGTTTAAAGAAATTAACTAATTTTACTACAGAATCAAGATATGCCCAACACTGACTCTGAGAAGTACCCTATGATTCCCCCATAGCAAATATGACCCACTCGATACCACAATCTCCGGCCACCTGACAAGCCCATCCGAGCATTTGTATAGGAACTGATTAATTTCCAGTATATGAGATTGGTAATTGGTAATGAACAGATATATTTCCTACATGTTTGTTTGGCATTGGATTGGGTAGCTCTGATGTGTTATTTCGATTACGGGAGCCACGGTGGCTAGGTGGTTAAGACGCTGACTCGCTAGCGTGGAGGTCGAGAAAGTTCATCTGGATTTTCGGACGTGGTTTCCCCTTGTCAGTGGTGCAGAACGGAGGGCCAGACAAGGACAGCTGTCTAGTCCTTCGGATGAGACGAAAAACCGAGGACTCGTGTATACATTGGAATGCACGTAAAAGATCCCCTGGCAGTTGTAATTCGATATAAGAGTGGACGATAGTGCCGCTGTCCGGGCAAAATTTCCCCCATAGCACACTGTATGGCGTATGCCCGTCTTCATTAGCCCAGTATAGGAGCAGAACAGTAGGACGTTAAACCCCATTTCATTTCATTTATTTCGATTAGAAAGCGAAAATAGGGTTGGTTGTATCTCTGGCGACTTTATGCTTTAAATGAAGTCAGCTTCACTAAAAAAAATCGAAATACTATTAGAACTATTTTCAATTCAAATACTCTCCAAAATCGTTAACTAATTCATCTTTACTCGAAGCTATATCTCACATCTTTCACTTGTGGTGCCAGGTTACCTCGGACAGGACAAAAGTAAATGATATAATGTAAAACAAAACAAATTTTATTTGCATCAAGTTTATTACATAGAAAAGAAATTAACACCATATAATACAAAAAATTACCCCGTTTTGCGTGTAATGATTGTTATAAGATTGTTTTGAAAAAAGGGGTATATTGGAACTTTGTTCAATTACAAAGCTTTCCAAAACTAATACTCCAGTCGTCGCTACTTGAAGCGATCTTACAACTTTAACGAAAACAGAACAACGTTTCAATGTAGCTCTTTTAAGCTTACAACGGAACAAGGGCTCCCCCGGAAATGAACGCCATCTTTATTTTCCAATTCCATTTGTAACTGAGTCGATCCAGTTTTTTAGGTTTGGTACGTATGCGTAGACACCTGGGTAGTTTGGCACAGCACAGCCGTTTCCAAAAGAAACTATTCCGGTTAGAACCCATTTATCGCCCTCGGCACACATTAGTGGTCCACCAGAATCACCCTAGAAATATAAAATGTTAAGGCATGGAAGCACATATTGGTTATTAGGTTATGTAGTCTATGTTCTGCTTTGTGTAACCAAAGTCATTATCTAAATGGTCGACGGTTGGATTTAAGTTAATTAGGAGCCCTGAAAAATAAACTGAATCAGTGACGTCAGGGAGTCTGGTAATCCAAATATGGTCGTACTTCCACCATTATTTAAGAAAGAACTCCACTAGTGCGCTAATTCTGGGAATATTAGGATCACGGGTCACATGGTGGTTGATCGTACCTGGTAATATCCAGGGGTCGGTATATGACTAATTTATGTATCCCTTTACAAGAAGCTGAACGGACTTTGAATTCCTCAGACATTATTGGGCGAGTGAATTTCAGAAAAGACCACATAGTAGAATCTGTTGTGAATTATGTAATGTCTTTTATTTCTCATATAAACAAGGATTTAAAACAAAAACACTGTTCAAGTGTTTTAGTGATTATTTCAAATTACACAACGTGAAGTCAGAATATTGAAGTCCAGGGCTATGTAAATGTTTTTGATAGTTCTTGATGACTGTTGTGGCCCACTATAGTGTTAAATCCCTTTATTGGGCCCCGTGACGAAGGTTGTTATTACACACTGATAAGTAGTGCAATATCTATTAGTTAGTTAATTGTCGCAGGATTGCTTACACGGTAGCATCACATATTATTGTTAAGTAGTCCCCACAATGTATCAACTTTTATCATACAAATAAATATTTGTGGAAATTCTTAAACGCAGAATATATGGCTAAAGGAGCTAAGTCGCTAATATTTGGGACCTAGTAATTGACACAAATGGGTCGTACCGCATATAATAAATTAATGTAATATGAATGTATATAAATTGATTTACATTCAATCGTTTCTGTTTTTACTGTAATTTCTAATCAGTTAGGTTCGGCGACATACGCCAGTATTCTCAATGGAATTTCAATCTCTAGCTTCTGGTTATTCCAGTCTACGCCGATAGTATTTATTGTGCATGCTCTCCAGATAAGAATATAGCGTCACCGTTTGACATGACTTGTGGAATATGCCTAGCCTCGTGTTTCGAGTCCCTTATTACAAATAGCCCTGAAACGCATTATGGTACACGATTCGTATACCAGTTGTAAAATGTTTATTTTGCCTTAAATATTGGATATCAGAAGGCCATCTTTTCCCGGTAAGATCACAAGCGTCAATGTTGATTTAAACCGACAAATAAATCGTGTTTTCAATGTCGAAGATTTTGGATGATATTGAGTTAGAGACTTAGCTACTTTAAATTACCTTGCACGCGTCTATACCACCATCTTGAAATCCAGCACATATCTTAACATCGGTGATAATATTAGAACCATACGCCTGCCTACAAACATCTTTATTAAATATTGGAACAGTGGCTTCTTGAAGTGCAGATGGCGTGTATCCAGAATATTCTAAAGAAAAGTATTGTCTAAAGATACATTATGTAAGAGCTAAATCTGTATAGTTCTGTCTGTTTTGGCTTTAAATGATATATAAATTATGATTTAGTCATTTGTTAACGTTACAGACCTCTAATCAAGTCCCTGGGCAATCGGATGACCGATATTTAAATGGATTTAAACAATCGAGGATTAGTCCAGGTAGTCAAGTACCGTTGCTACGATAATGAATGATCTACGCTATGGCGTCAACAGTCATAACGTCGCTCAGAATGTAGTAATTTGAATGAAATTTCCAATATAATCACTTTTCATTATCTATTGTTGAACTATTATAGATAGAACTAGCCTAGTCCTGACCTGCAGTTCTTGAATAACTATGTGAACGTCTAGATGTTTAATTTTACCTTGGGTAAGTCCCCATCCAGCAACAGTACATTTCGTTCCAGTTTGTACGTTTAGTTGTGTTGATGGCAGACATATTGGTTTTATACATTGGTTATTGGTTGGTAGCGGGGACTGCAGAGTTAAAACGGCAACATCGTTTTCTGGAAATATGTAACGAATTTTGTAATTAGGTTTGGGTGAAGTGCAATAGTTAGGTAGGAATACTTTGGACTTGGATATCAGAATCCAACAGCTACTTGGAAGACTCTGGAGCTAAAGTTCACCAGAAGAGTCATCAGCCCCCTGTTTTAA